GTTTATGTTATTTAGGTCCTCACTATATTTGTTATATCAATACTGGGAGCATGTAAGTATGATGAGAACAAAGGCCAGAGATAAGCAAAGGAAAAGATGGAGAGAAACTCAACAACATAGCCAAGAATTTATGGTTTGGCTTAAAGAAAAAGTTTGGGTGTGATGTGCACGCTCTTGATCATATCCGATGGTTACCATTGGGTCCTTGTGATGTAGCAAGGAAATATATTGGTTATTTTGTGAATGGGTATAAATTTATACTAAAGAACGTGATGCAAAGTGTAAAACTCAAAATAGTGGTGTAACTTTGATTGCTCTAACTTCAAGTTTTGCAAGCACTAAAGATCACAATCCAGTTCTTGATGAAATTACTTATTATGGAGCAATACAGGAGATCATTGAAATTGATTATTGGACTTCTTAGTCGTCTTATTCAGATGTGACTGGTTTTATGTGGAAAGGGATGACTATGGTCTCACTCGTGTTAATTTTGAGAAGCGTTGCTATGTAGACGACCCATTCGTGTTAGCATCACAGGTCCATCAAGTCTTTTACATTGAAGATCCCATTGAAAAAGGTTGGCATTATGCAATTAAAAAGCTGCCAAATGACTTCTTTGAGTTTGAGCAAACAGAGGAAACATACTTCACGGAACCTTATAAGTCATCTGAAGATAGAATGGAAACAACAACTGGTGATAATGATGACCTCAAATGGTGCAGAGAAGGTTTACCTCATACTATTGTGGAATTAGATGTGAATGGTAATGATTTATAATGAAAAAATCTTTAATGTGATTATTTTTCCAATTATGTGCTATTTTATTATTTATGATTGAAGGAGGTAATACAATTTTTCATCGTACGAGACAAGTACTACTAGACAAGTACTACTGTAGATTACTTGGAACTTCTTTTTAGTATAATGGTATTCTATGTTTCTATTTCTTTGGTTCAGGACCTGAAGATAATGATGATGTGAACGACAAATGAAATTGTGATGGCCCCAGAAAAGGGACCTATTTTTGTTGCAGACATTCCAGAAAAGGAACAAGTGGTTTCGATGAGTTTATTTCTAGACAATATGGGAAGAAAATTGCTGTTGATTCTTTGATATAATTGTATAGTGGAGTATCAATATTTTCTTTTCCCAAAGTATTATAAGCAGTTTATGAAATACATTATTTTTCTTATGCAAACTATTTTATTTGTCTGCATTCCATGAGAATATTTTGATCAAAGACTGAATATGCTATAGTTTATGGACCGAATTATTCTTGCTTTGTTACAATGAGTTTTATTTCAATGGAAATACCTTACCTGAAGAGTTTATATTTGCATTAGTAAGATTTCTTGTTTTGTTGTGGTTATAAGTATCCTCCTCCAGTTAGAAGCAATTTTGTGGATCAATGAAAATGTCAAGCATGTAGCTCTAATGCCATTTTTTTTATAGTATGCACTTTTTGCATTAGTTTTTTCAAATAAGATTTACTACTTCATTATTGGCTCGGAATTCTGTTCTTGCACCATTGAATTTTCTTGATTGGCGCCGTGTCTCCAACAAAGACAAACTCTGGGAGTATGTGAAGGTATTTTTGTTAGAATTCATGGTAGTTCTCGAAGCATAAATTTTGCATATTTGGTTTCGTTATGAATAGCATATTTTTTGAATGAATTACAATAGGTGTTCTAATTAAATACATGAAATACTTTTCAGAAGAAATTTATCATCTCAGAGGAAGGGAAAGACTACGTGTTGTCTTCAATTGGTGCTCTTTGGCGTACGCACAAATCTAGGATAAAAAAGAGGCATTACTCAAAGTATGACAATGATGAAGAGAGATGGGAAAATCAGCCGAGATCAATTCCAGATGAAGATTTCACAGAGTTACTCAATTATTGGGACTTGGAGGAGGTTAAGGTACTTATAGTATTTATTTTTCTTCTTTGATTGAATATTGAATACAAATACACTCACTTTAGTTTAAATGCTTCTTGTTTTTTGTTCCATAATTTGATTTTCTAGTTAACACTATTTAAAGTAATATATGGATGTTTTATGTTTATTCAAGTAAATGAAAATTGCTAATATTTATGAAACTTGTTTGTTTAAAAATAATTCTTATGTCTTCTCATTTCAGGAAAAAAGTGACAAGAATAAAAAGAACAGTGAAGCCCAGAAAGATAGGCATACTATGGGCCCTATTTCGTTTGCGATAAAGCGATATGAGTTGGTAAAGATTTGTATATGTTTTTATACTAATATAAGTTTTCTTTTCCAGACTACCATTTCAAAGTAGCACAATTTAATTAATACATAAAATATATTAAGCGTCTTTTAATACTAAGTTATTATGTCATAGGAACAAGCTGAGATAAAACCACCTTCTATAGCAACAATGTACATGGAAACTCGCAAAGAAGGGATGGAAAAGAATACAAGACATCTTATGTACGTTGCATTATACTTGAGTTTATATAATTATTCTTGTACATTCTATAATGTTCTTCATAATCAGGTGGAAAAATTACTGAAATCTGGCTTTTAGGAAGGCGTACTAAAAATGAAAAACAACCTTCCAACTTTGTGTACCACTTATTCCTGATGAAGTTTTGCAGCCATATAAATCCCAAATCGTGAAAGAGACGGTTGAAGAAGTGGTGAAATTATTAAAGTTCAAATTTCACTTAAAGTTCTGACCTCAATAACCTTATCCGTTAATGATCGACGGACTTTTGAAGGAACCAATAATAAACAATTGATCAAGGTAAAATCTATACTAACAAATGCTTTTAGTGCTTTTGTAGGAACAAAGTCTCATTCACAATTAATATGGTAGAAATAATAGTTTGGTTTCTTGGTTTGATATTCATACTTGGATTCTAGAGTTTCATGTATTTATGTGGCACAAAAAAAGCTTTTGTTGTTTACTTCCAATATGGCTGTCGGTTTTAAGATTATTACTTTGCAATCATATGATAGAAATGATAATTTGGTTGCTTATATGCTTTGTGATATTTACTCTTGGTTTCTAGAGTTTCATAATTTATGTGATGCAAGTAGTTGTAGAAATGTCTATAAAATCATTTTGTTATATTATATGAGCATTAAGCTTCGACATTGTCATGAAAGAAAGTTAGCCTATTATTTACTTGGATGAATATTTCTCGCTCGTGTAGTTAGAATTTGCATATGACTATATGTGTATCTTTCAAGGATCTTTGTATGTAATTGTTACAGTAGATTTACCACTGATAGTGCACATCTAAATAAATATTTCTTTTCAGGGTGAAGATATAGATGATGGGGCAAATTTACAATCAATCCCACCTCGATTTAACTATGAATGCAGTGAAGGAATGGAGATGAGAAGTGAGGTTGATAAGTGAGCATGGTAGACTACTAATTATTTTAATGAATTTTGATGAACTCTGCCTTGGGATCTTCATGCTTTTGGTGTAAATTATGATTGTACAGGGCATTCTAATTAATCTTTTGTTGTTCTCATGAACTGGAGATGTAATAGTTCAAACTTATTGGGATGTTTATTTTTCAAGTTTTATAATTTGTTGTTGATGTCATCTATTGTGGATATTTTTACTAAACAAGGTGTATAGGACTAAAAATATTAAACTATTTTGTAAATATTATAAAATGTGTCACATGAATGATCTTTAGTGATACCCAAATTCGCTACAAAAGAATTATAATAAATGAAGAAAAGTGTTACATTAGCACTCAAAAGTATTTCTTATACTTTAATAAAGTGTTACATAAAGTGATGCAAATGCTGGAATAAATTGTTACCTCTTGTCAAAAGTGGTACAAAACAATTGCTACAGTTAACAAGAAAAATGTTACATTCCAGCTAAATTATGTTACAAATAATGATACCTTTGATATATAAAAGTGTTACTTAAAACATTATAGATAACATTTTAAAGTGTTATTTCATAGTGTTACAATAAATTATGTAATGTAACACATATAATAAGTATTACCAAAAACAATTTAAAGTATTACCATATACTATAGGTAGCACAATCAAATGCATCGCCACTAATTGTGTTACCTATCATCTATAGTAACATTTTAGAGCTATTAGGTATTACTTGTTTATGCTACAAAAGGCCACTTATGTTGTAGTGGAGACCAGCTGAAAGGTCAAAGTTTGGCCGTACACACTGGCCTGGGGAGTTCTTGCGTTCGGTGATAGCGGCGGCAGCTCTCGTGCGAGTCAACGGTCGGCCACTGCAGTTGGCCTCACGTCTCTCAGCACGGGCGTGCGAGCTCGGCCACCACTTCGCGTGGCTACACCCATCCAGGTTCGGCGTTCAGCTCAAGGTACATACCAGAAATTTCAATTTCCGGGTCCATAGATTCCTAGATACTTAGATGGGAAAGGTTTCCTACAAGACTTCTCAAGCTACAACAGTTTAAGAAATACTGTTGAGCTACACTTTCCCAAAGAAATCGATCATTGGCATCACTACCCCGGAAAAATCTTAACATCGGCGGTCATCACCAAATATTAGAATGGTTAACTCGCTTGACCCTTCCGACTAACAATGTCGGCCGTCACGACAACGTTTACTCAGGTAGCTAATCGGGCCGGCGGTCCTAAACGAGATCGACCACATATATAGCTTATAACTTCCACACTTCGAGATCTTAGCGTAAAGCTTCTCTCGCAAGTGCTTTCTATCCAACATTATAATACTAATCAGATTAAGTCACATAGGGAACACATACATGAAAATTAACTAAAAGGTAATTTTTGAAATTCACAACTCATTTTGGAAACCTAAACATGAACTTGCACCAATTTTCAGCATGCGTGTTAAATTTAAAATGCATGTAGCATTCAGTATACAAATCATATCATGATGAACTTTGGGATCTGTGAGGATCTCGTTATGTACAAATCACGAATTCAATAGCAAACGTAAACCTATGCGCAGCGGATCTAAAGGTTTGACGTAGAGAACTTACGGCTTAAAATTTATGTAGATCTGGCTGACCACGAATGGTTGACCGCAAATCACGTCTTGGGTTGCGCGAACAAGATCAGATCAAAATCGAATCAAACGGATGCAAACAGATCAAAACGACTTTTTGCAGTCAGGCTCCTTCCGGCGGCGCGTGAGGGCGCGTGCGGTGTCGGAATCCGGCAACGTCGGCGGAGATGGAAAGCGCTCGTCGAGACGGTCGTCTGAGTATACAGTACGTCTCAATCGGACTTCCGGTTAGTTCTGTAGGTCAAAATATATTTCGTCTCGGTTTACCTACAGATCTTCTACTGTATTACTCAATACACCCTTCTTCAACTTGTACAAGTGGAGCAACAAGAAGAAGATAAAGCTTGAATGAGATTTAGAGAGAGAGAGGCGTGTGAGGCGTGTTTCACGTGAGATGTGAACTCTATTTTCTTCTCATGAGCTTAATGATGTATATATAGAGCTACAGTAGGGACCCTAAGGAGATTAGGAAAAGGGCTCCTTAATTAATTAGACTAACTGTGGGCCAAACCCACTCTTCTAATTAATTAAATAATATTAATGGGTCACCAACATTATATTATTGCACTCCCTCTTCCTAGCCCAAATTACATTTGAGACTCTAATAATAATTATTCGATTTACCTCCCCACGTTTAAGATATAATGTCCATTAATTAATTCGATTACTGACAATCAAGAATTAATTAATTTATTATTATTTCACCGAAGCTAGCGCTCGTTCATCACATTCTTATTATGCCGGAACTTAATCCACCTGCAGGGTTTAGCATAACAATCCTTCATGAACTCACTCCGGAGACATCATCAAACTAACGCACATGGTGACCGTAAATATCCTAACAGTACATCCTATATATAATAATATTACCCAAAACAGTAGAAATATTAATCCAGCGAACTGAACCTCACCCATGTGAATCAAAGTAATATATATTATATATATCTGCCTGTTTAATATCTTACGGGTTAAGAGAACGCAGTAATTAACCGAGGCCTAGTTCATTTACGACGATCAGTATAAAATGAACTTCTCCTTTCTGGGATCCTGTTCAATACATAAATGTACTAGTTCAACTAATCAGTCAAGACAAACTGTACAGTTGACACTACAACCATTCGGATGGAGTGTTCATGTCCATCTAGGTTGTGAACAACTATTCTTATTCGCAAGTAACTGATAGAGTGATCTTCGGTACGCCCGATGACGGCCCACTCCATCTAAGTGCAGAACAACAGAACGTAGAACTTGTTTAATCTAACATGATTCTCATTCATAAAGGGTAAATGTGTAATAACATGCAAAGCCAAGCTTTCAGTATATAACACTAACAATCTCCCACTTATACTTAAAGCTTTCGCTTTTATAGTATAGTCCTATCAATCCGTTATTCTAAAAGACCTATGTCGATCCTATCGCCATGCATCCTCTGATGCAATCTTGGCAACATCAACGCCTCCTCTACCAACGATATCCCTTCGAATCAGATGGTATTTGCGCTCTATGTGTTTGCTTGCCCTGTGGGCTCAAGGTTCTTTTGAGTTCGCTACTGCTCCACTATTATCACAGTACACCGGTGATACCACGTGGCAAACTCGGTATAACCTCTAAGTCCACTAAGAAGTTCCTGAGCCAAACTGCCTCTTTCGCTGCCACTGAGGCTGTTATGTACTTGGCTTCCATGGTGGAGTCTGCCACGCATTTCTGCTTAGCACTCCTCCATGAAATGGCTCCACTTCCAAGGTAAACACATAACCTGAGGTTGACTTACTTTCATCCTTATCTGACTGGAAATCGGAATCACTGTAACCTAGAGGTAACAAACTGCCTGCACGGTAAACTAACATGTACTCCTTAGTCCTTCTCAGGTACTTGAGTATATACTTCACCGCAGACCAATGTTCCCATCCCAGATTACTTTGATATCTAGCTACCATGCCAACGGCGTAGCTAATATCTGGCCTAGTGCACAGCATTGCATACATGAGACTTCCTACTGCCGAAGCATAAGAAACTATCTTCATCTCCTCCATCTCCTTAGACGTCTTAGGAGACATCTCCTTAGATAGAGGTATTCCATGTCTGAAAGGTAACATACCTTTCTTGGAATCCTGCATGCTAAATCTGGCCAAGATAGTATCTATGTATGAAGACTGGGATAAGCACAACATTCTCTTCTTACGGTCTCTAATGAGCCTAATACCAAGAATGTGTCCTGCTTCACCTAAGTCCTTCATATCAAACTGCTTAGACAACCACACCTTTACGTCTGATAACTTATTCTTAATGTTTCCAATAAGCAGTATGTCATCTACGTAAAGCACAAGAAACACCACCACACTCCCACTGATTTTCTTGTAAACACAGTGCTCATCCGGACATTGAGTGAACCCGTCCGACTGGATCACCTCATCAAAACGGATGTTCCAAGATCTCGAAGCTTGCTTCAGTCCATAAATAGACCGATTAAGCTTACACACTAGATGCTCATGACCTTCAGCAATGAATTCCTCTGGTTGCTGCATATAGATGTCTTCCTGCAGGTTCCCATTAAGGAAAGTTGTCTTGACATCCATATGCCAGACCTCATAGTCCGTATGAGCGGCTACAGCCAAGAGAATCCGAATGGACTTAAGCATAGCTACTGGCGAAAAGGTCTCATCATAATCAATACCCTCGATCTGGGTATAACCTTTCGCAACAAGCCTAGCCTTAAAGGTTTGCACCTTCCCATCCAATCCTCTCTTTCTCTTATAGATCCACTTACATCCAATGGGTCGTGCCCCATCGGGTGGTTCTACAAGATCCCAGACCTGATTAGAGTCCATTGACCCTATTTCAGCTTTCATTGCAACATTCCATGAATCTGCATCTTTATCTTGGAGTGCCTCATCGTAAGTTCTTGGGTCCGATTCTAGGCCTCCTGGAACTGAGTCTGACGACTCTCCAAGACCTATCCATCGGTCAGGTAAATGAGAAACCCTCCCACTGCGATGAGGCACTGTCTGCACTGGTACACTCTCAGTGTGTCATGTTGCAGTATTATGTGATGTATCTACTTGCGCACTCGGTGGGGAACCATCGATTTCACCCCTTAACTCCTCTAAGACTAGTCTACTCGCGGGCTTTTGATTCATAATATAGTCTTCTTCCAAGAATCTAGCGTTCGTCGAAACGATCACCTTCTGATCCTCAGGACTATAAAATAATCCACCTTTCGTTCCCTTGGGATAGCCTACGAAAACTCGTGCTTCCGAACGTTTCTCCAGCTTGCCAGGTTCCTGCACTAAGACGTGTGCAGGACTACCCTAAACTCGAAACTGTGAGAAACTGGGCTTGCGCTCTTTCCACATCTCATAAGGGGTAG